TCTCCTACGGGGATCAATATCTATCTATGATGTTGTTGTTGCATTATGCACGTGCAGAATGATTATCGAAACCAGCGTATTGAGTATCTAGAAAAACATAAAATCCGTTTTTATAAAATAGGACAAATGGAAAATTCCAATTCTAAATCCAGAGGAATACCAATTTTCTTTAAGTAAGTAAATAAGTAGTCTTTGTTTATATAGCACCTTTCACAGACTAGAGCCACAAAGCGCTTTATTATTGTGGTCCTCTCACTCCACAAAGAGATGGGACACAAACAGGAGGCGCATGCCAGACCTGTTGTACGTGGTTTTAGTGGTAAAAATCATTTAATTTGGTTTATGAAGTGTCTTAAACTATGAACTGACTTTAAAAGCTAGTCCGTGACACGTTGTAATGTCAGAAAGAGATGTGACATCACAGTGTGCTCTGTCTGTAATGGGATTTAAAATCCCAAACTTTAGTATTATTCACTATTTATTCATTATGGATTTCCCCTTATTAGCTCCACTCATTCACAGAAATAAACATCATAAATCACAAGAAAAGCAGAGAACCAAAGCTCTGCATAAAGCACAACCTCATTGATGGATCTACAGCCTCAGTCCTGGATCTATAGCCTCAGCCCTGGGTCTACAGCCTCAGCCCTGGGTCTACAGCCTCAGCCCTGGATCTGCAGCCTCAGACCTGGGTCTACAGCCTCAGTCCTGGATCTACAGCCTCAGTCCTGGATCTACAGCCTCAGCCCTGGGTCTACAGCCTCAGTCCTGAATCTACAGCCTCAGTCCTGGATCTACAGCCTCAGTCCTGGATCTACAGCCTCAGTCCTGGATCCACAGCCTCAGTCATGGATCCACAGCCTCAGTCCTGGATCTACAGCCTCAGTCCTGGGTCTACAGCCTCAGTCCTGGGTCTACAGCCTCAGTCCTGGATCCACAGCCTCAGTCCTGGATCCACAGCCTCAGTCCTGGATCTACAGCCTCAGTCCTGGATCTACAGCCTCAGTCCTGGATCTACAGCCTTAGATATAGGACTTCATTTCAATGTATTTTGTATATGCCTAAATCACAACAGTAGTTATCTAGGAGGACTATACAAAGTTGTCGACTCGCCGATACAGATCAGATCTGTAGATCACAGTTTTGGATCAGTTCTGTCCCTGAGAGCTTCCCCAAAGTTTCTGAGTATTTGAGTGGTTCCTTGTCGTTGCAGAATGGTCTAAGGACAGTGATGATTCAAAAGTGTTCAATTATGAATCAAGAGTTTATGACTGACGTTTGTTTCTGAGCACGTTAGACATACATGGCATAATTTTAAAGGTCATTTCCCCAAGAAAACCCTTGCATGTTATTCTATTATGAGCCTTGAACCCAGACCACAATAATAATTATTATTATTTTGTTATTAATTGTTCCATCAGACAAACACGCCTTTTTACTTTTGGTCCAATTTTACTTCTGTTCAGGAAAACAACCCTTTAAGTCAATTTATAGGGCCTGATTGGATCAAATACCTCATAATATAGATCTAATTTTAAAGAATATATACAATTTCATATATTTTTTGTAAGTATATGGCGTGGTGGTGACATAGCGTGCAGCGACTGGAGCGCTGAGATGATGAGAAGTGAGTATGCCCCGAGCCCGCAGGGACAGACTCCAGATTTGGACTCAACATGTTGGTCGCTCTGTCCCTGGAGGAAACACGCTGTCGCACCCACACCACACACCTCATCTCACAGCACTACACGTACACGCACACACAGACACACACACATACACACACAGACATACACACACACCTCATATCACAGCACTACACGTACACGCACACACACACATACACACAGACATACACACACACCTCATATCACAGCACTACACGTACACGCACATAGACACACACACAGACATTTACACACACTTCATATCACAGCGTAATACACACACGCACACACATACCCACACACCTCATCTCGCCCAGAACTGCACACACACCCAGACCCAGACCTTAACCAAAACCCAGACTCACCCTCACCCAGACCTAGACCCAAACCCAGACAGGCCTAGACCCAGTCCCAGATCCAGACCCAGTTCCTAACCAAGACCCAGAGCCTCAAGTGAGTAACGGCCTAGAAAGCTTCGACTTGTCTAAATTTCACCTATATTTATGCTATTTGTGTTTCCGCTGAACTCGCCCCGGGCAGACGAGGTCGTGGGGCAGGTTCGAAGCCGTGTGTTTGTGGGATTGATGCTGTTGTCTTCATGCATTAGGGCTGCAACTAACGATTATTTAGATAATCGATTAATCAGGCGATTATTTTTACGATTAATCGATTAATCGGTTTATGTACTTATATTTTAGTTTTGCCAATTTTTTTCCAAGTAAATTGTTAACAAAGGGCCTTCATCATTCAACATAGACTTTTTAGAGATTTTAACCATTTTACATATTCATATCCACATCAAAAACTTAACTGGAGCTGTTTATTATGTCTTTGTAATCCTTTAGTGAACTCAATGTTGACCATCAAAACAAAACACTGACCGTTACATACTCTAGCAAATTTCACAAGGAGATTTCCAATAATGTTTTCACCATGAAAATCCTTAGGGCTTCTGAAGTAGTTTAAAATCCCGAACAAGGCTTATTTAAGTTGATAAACTGATAAATGTTTTTTTTTTTTTTACATCTTTGTGCAAATTATTTGAAAGATCAACTTTATGCCTAAAACAGTGAGTGTGGCGCCATCTTTTGCAAACAGTCAGTACTGCAGAGAGATGGTTTAAGGTGCTCACGCAGAGACGTAGTACTCCCGTGCCAGGCCAAGTCAGTAGCGCAGAGTTTACAGGTTACTCTTCTTTTTTGAAGGTTCAAAGTAAAGTGCTCCCACACTTTGGATGACTTCGTTCGATTAGGTTTGTCTTCTGCTTTTTTCCTTTTTTTTCTCGAGCTTACTCCGCTTGCCTCCGCCATCTTGCTGTATGCTGAAGAGAAGCTGTGCGCGAAGCATGTGACATAAAAGGAGGCCAGCTATTGGCTATTCGCTACTTCTCCTGCTGTAAAACCTCCGGTGGCTCATTACTGCCACCATTTGGTCACCGCAGAGTTAAAATATGCACGAAATGAGCCGCTTACGGCAAAATAAAAGTTATTTAGCAACTAATCGATGACTAAATTAGTTGACAACTATTTTAATAATCGATTTTAATCGATTAAATCGATTAGTTGTTTCAGCTCTATCATGCATTGAGTCTACGGTATATGAACCTGATCTGTGGGATTATACAGCAGCAATAATGTGGCGTTATACATTAATCCTGTTTTTTGTTAATCCATCAGACTCTGGATTTGGCCCATCTCCACACAAATGTAGGCTACAAGTGAGTCACAAACCCTACTGCTACTGCTGCTGCTGCCACTGCTGCTGCTGCTGCTACTACTGCTACTATTACTGCTACTATTACTGCTACGTAGACTATTTTCTGGACACTCAAAAACTCTTCAGAGCATTATTCATTCACTCAAACATGGTGGTGATGAATTCCTACTGTAGCCACAGCTGCCTTGAAGCACACAGACAGAAGTGAGGCAACCGGTCTATTCCATCGGCTGGTTGGTGGGAGGGACTGATGGAAACAAAGTCATATTCTACTTTTTACTATGGTTAGTAACATGCATGACATTTGCATTTCAAACTGAAATGAAATTGTGTCTTGTTTTTATACTATGCCACCACGATATCAGCAGAGCAATAAAAATCAGCACCAGTAGGAGCCTTTCTGGTAGAAGGTGAATCAGAAGCAGGCTCTACGTTGACATTTAAAGATGGGCATTCTCCCATTATTTTGAGTTTGTTGGAGACACATTTCATGTGCATAATCCAAAAGCTCTACAACACCAGTTACTTGCCCACACCCCAGACTCAATCTAGACCAGGTGTCTCCAAACTTTTCCACCCAGAGAGCTTTTTCCCGCAAAAATAAAGGCAGAGAGATCTCCTTTGAACGGCCCTGGGAAAAATGTGGTGATATATTGGTGTCTGATAGTCTGATATCGGTTACAGCCCTCTTTTAGTACATTTAGTACATTTACAATAATATAATGAATAATATAATATGAAATAGTTAGTCTATTATTTGATTTGTTCATTTCTAAATCCTAGAAGGAGGTGACGAGTTAATGGTGGTTCCCGAGCTAAAGGTTAAGGATCTCTGTTCTAGACAATGTAGGTGAAGGACACAACCACTTTGACACCTGATGTTCCCACAGGTGTACCATCACTGCACAAACCAGGATCTGTCCGATTTACCTTCAGAGGATAGCCGGCATCAGGCTTCCACCTGCAGGTGGTGCCACATCTTTAATTACAGCAAATTATTCTGCTATTAGTGCTACAACTACTGTTGCTGCTACTGCTAGTAGAAAAACTTACTGTTAAAACAGCATATTGACCATGTGGTTGACAATGCTCCATTGATAAACGCACCACTGTGTAACACTCTGGTGTAATTCAGGTCTGTGGAGAGGCAAGCCTTTTATGTATTCAGCGAAATGGAACACATCTAAAATTCCGGATTAAGTACTTTTACTTTAGTTTATTTATGAGCTGAAAGTGGAGCTTCAGCAGAACACCGGTCACAGAGGATCCAGCTCCACTTTTAAACACACATGATAAAGACACATTGTCTCTCTGAAGCCTGGATGTGAGGATATCATTCTTTTTGTTTTACGGCACCGGTTGAATAGAATGACCCACATAGCAGAGAAGGATAAATCGTGTGCATTAATTGTTGGTAAAAACTGAATATTTGATTTAATCTTGACTAAAACTGTAATTATATCAAGCCAAAAATCCAGTAGAAGCCCTTGTACGGATGAGCCGCTCTCCGCTGGTCCCTGGTCCTCCCTCTACATCATCCACCTGCTCTTTCACTCACGGGGATTTTGCGAAAACCCAAACCGAATACATGCACCCACAACCCGGCAGCAGCCTCACCTTCCAGCGCGGAGCCCGGCGTGAGCATCACCAGCACAGCCAGCCACAGCGCGGGCACGGAGGCAGGCATCCAGAGAGGCTTCATGATGCAGCGGCCATGGACGACATCTCCCCGGGTCTGTCAGTCTGTGCAGACGCACACGCACACGCATGTGGAGAGAACGGGTCTCCGGCAGCGCACAGAGCGAGCGGCAGGGGGCGCAACGCGTGCGTGCGTCTGTATATGTGTATAGGTGCGTGTGTCTGTGCGTGCGTGTGTGTCTATTTCTGCCGGCGCGGAGCTGCATCCAGAGGCCTCTCTCCTCACGTACATCTGTGTCAAATATATAATTCAAATGAAGCGTGTATTGAAGCTGGGGTGGCTAACTTGTTTGTCTCTTGAAGAAAATGTGGAATCAGTCATGTTTATGCCTCATGTTCTTTGGGTTGTCATTTGGATAATGGATTCTGCCTTCATTACTCTTGAGAAGTGAAGGCACAGAAGCCAAGTCTAAACTGTTATTGGTTAAAGATGCATGAAATAAACACAATCCCATAGAGAAGGGAAATGCATGAGAGTTCTGCTTTCTCTGATTTGAAGTTTCTACTTTGATCATAGAAGCTGAAATCTTCTGCATAGAAAGATGATTTTGGTCTTTCTTAGCTTATAAATTGGGGCGTTTTAAAGCAACATTTGAGGCTGTGATACAATAACATGATTAAAATGATGACGTTGGATGTTCTCAAACATGAAATCTAACTCTGAGAAGGCATTCTTATCAGCTCTGCAGGTCTGGACTCCCCTGGACCTGTGGACCGGTCCCAGTCTGGACCCTGGACTCGAGACGTTTAGACTAGTCCCCAGTGGCATGACATATTATATACAGATATGAATTTCAAGGAGACCATTGACAGGAATAAACGGAACATGTGAGCGTGGCCCTTAGAGAGCAGCTCCAGTATGACACCTCCTCACTGCAGCCTGGTGAGGTGAAGCAGGGACGTGGTGAGCATCAAATCAAATCAAAGTCCATAAAGCACATTCATGTATTCATCAGCTCTAGCAAAGAGGCTCAGAATATTAAATCACATACATGGTAATGTGTCCCATACATCCAGAGGAGGGAGGGGTTTGTCCAGAAGCACCTGAGGAGATGTGGGAACCAGCTCCAGCATGAGGAGATCTGGGAGATAAACGTGTAGACTCAGAATCTGAATAAATAAATAAAAAAGAGACCGCCAAAACTCAAATACCTGTAACTGCAACTGAAAATGTTGTGTCCTGGTACAGTCAGTTCAGCAGGTGGGGGTACTTTGTGGAGCCACTTTTCAGAAAGACATAAAAACCTTAGGTTGGATTCCAGGTGCTTGATCTGGTCACTTTTAGAGAAGATAATGCATATATTTAAGTGACCTCCTAGACCACAAGGCTAGCGCTGGAGGGTCTGGGACCCTCCTGTCCCCCACCTGCTGCCCTGTGTCCAGGGGACAGACTTTCTGATGACTGTCCAACTTTTTTCTGTCCCTCTCTGTGATGCTGCTTCTCCAGCAGTCCTTCTTCTGTACAAGATGGCTGCCGCCACAAAAGAGTCATTGAAGGTCTTCTGGAGAGGCCCCTGCACTCCAAAAGACCTGAGCCTCCTCAGCAGGTCCAGACCTGAACCTCCTCTGCATGTCTAGACCTGAACCTCAGCATGTCCAGACCTGAGCCTTCTCTGTAGGGTCAGACCTGAGCATCCTCTGCAGAATTGGGTTTGTCTTCTTGTTTTAGCGGTTGTATCAAACTTACTGCCCTAAAAAGACATGCTCTGGCCTAAAGCCACATGACAGAGGACACTTGACCCCCATCACACGCCTGAGTATACCACTCATGTAAGAGCTGAGGTGGGCTGTGATGGGCCTGGAGGATGAACAGGCCCTGTTTATGTCCTGTAAATATACTTACTTATCTATAGCCTCAGTCCTGGATCTATAGCCTCTCCATCTGAGGGAGCAGATCCCTCATGGGCCTCCCTAAGGTGTCTCACTTTGTTCCCACTGGTTTCTGAGTGGTTTCTAGTTGATGCCGGAGAGTCTGAGTACAGTGATGATCCGGGACATTTCTGTACTTATTATTAACATTTCTGGGCAATGGTCATCCCGCTTCCTATGGACCAATGGCTATTAAAAACTTTCACTGCTACATTGAATACTTAAATACTGCTGTTGCTGGAGTCACTGCAGTCATTGAGAGCCGTTACTCAAGTGCATTGTGGCTCCCTGCTCCCACACACTCCCGGTGCGCTCACTGGGCATGCGTGAGCCGTGTGTGAAATAGAGCAGAAGAATGCGCGTGCGGACTGCCCGCAACGTGAACAACAGATTAGAGCGCCCTGGGCCTGTTGCCATGGAAACGCTGGCCCCGGAGACGGCAGCAGATTGTAGGTCAGACGCCATCAGTCGACCAATCAGAGCTAACGCGAGAGGACTGCGGATCAGCGAGGCAGCCGCTAACGGTGCCCCTGCGTCCCCCCCCCCCTTGGGTTCGGCCTCATACTAAATGTTTGGTGCCAGTGTTCGCCACTTTTGGCACGCGGCCCTTGACCCCACCTCACACTTGACTGCTTTTCGGTCTTTATGATGGTGAATTCTCCAGTGAAACCGTTTGGATCGGAACCACCAGAATCATCAGAACCCCTAAAACCACCCACTAGAACCATCAGAACTCCTTAAACCACTAGAACCATCAGAACCACTGGAACTTTTCTGTGCATCATATTAATCTTGTACAAATACACCAATCATATGTTATAACAGACACAATAATACAGTAGCAACGAAACAAAATTCACACACACGCACACACACACACGCGCGCGCACACACACACACACACACACACACACACACAAAGTACCATGATCGCTATAATCCAATCAGAGCAGAAGGTGTAAGTCCCACACCTGACCACTGGCGGCGCACTGAATTCCTTAAATTAGCTTCCTGAGTCCAATAATGCTGAAATCAATTCACAAACAACCTTGAGCGCCACCTACAGGCATTTTAGCTGAACGGTCCCTTTCTTTGTAAGTATGATACTTTTTTCCATTTCTGAATGATGGATTGAAAAGTGCTCAGTGAGATGTTCAAATTGTGGGAAACCTAGATATTACAAAACAAGGCCTTAAACCTCTCCACAACTTTATCCCTGACCTCTGGTGTGCTTTTTAGCCTCCATGATGTTGTTTAGTGAACAATTCACTGCGACCATAGCTCTGTCTGACACCCTCAGAGAACATCTGTATTTATATTGAGAGTAGATTACTCATCTCATAACCCCTAATCGTGAGAGCGAGCTGTGAACATTCAGCAGTCATTGAAGATGTTTTGAAAGGAAATTCAATGCACTGTATGAATACTTATGCATGCCCCACTTTTCTATCTTGAATCAAATTATGTATCATTTTACTTTCACTTCACAGTTGACTTTTACTTGTGGGTAAAATTTCAGTAAAAAAAAAATCTAAATTAAATCTTTCGGTTTATCGTTGCAAACATGACAAAATGTGCAAGTGTTCAGGCTGTATTAGTACTTTTGAGAGCCACTGTAAAATACAAATCTGACTGAAGATACAGTACCACCAGAGGAAGCACCATTCTTATGAGGGGCCAAAATCTGTCTGCACGGCACAGGAGACGACAGGACCCAGAAGAGAGAGGAGGCTCCGGGGGCCAAGGAATTGTGCTGGAGGTGTGCGAGCACCACAGACTAAAATATTACACTAAAGCGAACATGGGGCCAGGGAAGTGTTGGGGGCAAGGGAGCATGGGGCCGGAGGAGTTCTGCAAGAAAACAAGACTCTAGACTAGGCATCAGAGTGTTAGTATTAGATAGCAATATGGCCTACGTGCAGGACTCTACAAGGACTCCATGTTATGACTATGATGTGACTGTCTCTGTGTGACACGTATGTCTTTCGATGTGTGACGTGACAATGCCTAAATAAACTGTGTACTGACTCCATTTTGTCTGAGAGAAAGAAACAATTGAAACCACTGGAACTTGAGAGAAACTTAAATAAACTTCCAGAGTTTGGCGCACCACGATCCGTCTCTGTCTGGTTCATCCCTGACAAGAGGATCAAGGGCTTCAGCAGTGTCGTTTTGGTCTTGGTCACGCCCCGGTTCTAGACCCTTCATCGGGTACTCAAGGGACCATGGGAGTTTGCCGCGGTCACACGTCCTTTGTGGATCTGGAGAAGGCGCTCAAGGGTGTTCCCCAGAAGAGCCTTTGGGAGGTTATCTGGAAGTACGGGGGACGGACCCCAGGGGACAGACCACAGAGAGAGGGACAGACCACATGGACAGAGCACAGGGATAGGCAAATAAGGTATGGACAGGACTGGGGCATGACGCCATCTGGTGGCTGCTTTGTCCACTGCAGGCTCCTCTGTGGTAGAAAGCTGTATGAACATTTGAGCAGTGCTGGATATTCTCAGTGAATTATTATAATCTTTATAGTTGACATCATTTCAATCCAATCCAATCCACTTTATTTCTATAGCACATTTAAACAACAGAACAGTTCCAAAGTGCTGCACAAAAAAATACACAAAAAATAGAATAAAAAATAAATAAATAAATAATTAATTTATAAAATCAATAAAAATCATAAAACACAAAAAAAAAAAAAAAAAGACACAGGGACCACACAATTCACGCGGTGATAAAAGCCAGAGAATAAAAGTGGGTTTTGGATAAATCATCTTCTATTTGTACAGATGAGAAGCTAACACTGGTTGTTATAACTTTAGAAGAGTCTACATTGGTCCCTGATTTATCACAGATCATGTTCTAAAAATGACTCCCAATAATTGAATTCTTGAAGTAGCAGCTCTATAATTGAAGGCTGTAAAATCTCTTAACACACTTTATATACTTTTCTAACCACCTGATCTCACGACTGCTGAAGGGCCATCACTCAGACCCACAACCTGTTGGTCTGTAGCTGTCCAAAGCTGTAGGTTGTTGCGTACACTGGTCCCTCGCTTTAAAACAGTTCAACCTTTCGTGGCCTCTCGCAGATTTTTCTGGTGTGTTTCCCTCCCTCTGGTTTCTGTCTCTGGTCTCTCCCTCGTCTCTCTCTGGTCTTCCCGTGGCCCTCACAGTCCTGCTCCTGCCCCTCAGTGTGGTGTCTTCTGCAGATGTGTTTTACAGTGTATGCTCGGCTTCAGACAGCTGCAGCAGCACTCAGACCTACAAACATCAGGTTTGATGTCTCTGGGATCGCACTTCAGCAGTTGTGAGTTCAGGTGGTTGCATTAAAGCATATATAGAGCATTGCACTTATTGTGATTTTTTAAACACATAACCCCCTTGATACACCAAGAACCACAGTACATACATTTTATTTAATCTAATGGAGCGCTGACTAATTACCGGTATGTACCATAATGGTTGCCAGTCGTTGTCTTTTAAACCATGAAGTTAAGCTGAATAAATACTCAGGGCAGAGGGGGGACTCTTTTTCAGATTATGACTCGACAGTGGGCGTGTCCAGATGGTCAAGTGGATTAAGTAGGAGCTGACTGCATCAGCCATCTCACCTGAGTTTACCAAAGCAAAGACCATAGACCAGACCAGACAGCAGTGGACCATAGCAGCAGGTCCACTTAGGCATGGACCAATCTATGTGAACTTTGGGGACTGACAGTAAGTTCACACTTTTGTATATTTCAAGTTCATCTTAATAGTCAATGTGTAGCCTTCACTCAATTGCTTTTCAAATATATCCATGTTATTTCATTACTCATAATAGAATGGGCTAAAATATATAGTAGGCAGTTTAAGCATAATTCATTTTCTTCTGCTTTATCCGTTGAAGAAACGCCCATCCCTCACCACACACACCAGGTAGGGCGTTCCCAGGTCAACTGAGAGACATAGTCCCTCCAGTGTGTCTTAGGTCTTCCCTGGGGCCGCCTCCTGCTGATACATAGCCTGAATCCAGAAGGAATTTGAATCGGGTGAGGGTGGGAGCATAGACTGAGAGGAAAATCCAGAGCTTTGGTTACGGACACTGCTCCCTCTTCACCACAACAGTCCGTTACAGCGACCGCATCATTTTTTCCCTCACTGAGAACAAGAGCTGAGACTTGAGGAAGGACCTCTGCACCACAGGTCTAGTGATCTGAGTCCTAGTCTGTTGGTCTGGGTCATGGCTTGATGGTCTGATCTGGTTTGGTGGTCCGAGTCTAGTGGTGTGATCTGGTCTGGGTCTGGTCTGTTCTCAGAACAGAGAGGATGAAGCTCCAGTGGCCGGTGGTGGGAACCGTCTTCTTCTTCCTGCTCTCGGTGCTTATGACGTTTGCCTTCATTTGGCAGTACAGGATTCCCAAGCTCAGACCAGGTGAGGTGCCTGGACACACACACACACACACACACACACGCACGCACACACACACACACTGGTCAGGATTAGAGCAGGTGGAAATAGTAAAGTGAGGATAATGACTTAAGCAGCAGAGGGAGGCACCGCAAATGATTGTTTACTGCACATTTCTGGCACAAAGTCCTGAAAATAACATGAGTGAATGTAATAGTTTGCTCATTTGTTTTATCCCACATAAGATTAAGAAAACTCTAATAATATGCATTAACCATATATTTAATAAGGAGCTACAGGTCATAGACGGCGACAGTACCTCAGTTGGTAGAGCATTGGCCTTTGGGCCTGAAGGTCGTGGGTTCGAGCCCACCGTAAGACCTACTTCACGACTCCCACTGATGACTGCTGTCGTTGTGTCCTTGGGCAAGACACTTAACCCTACTTTGCCCAAAGCCCCAACTGAAAGATCTCAGCTCCTGTGGACTCACCACCTGCAGGAGGATCAGTGAGGGGCTGGTGCTCTGTGTACTGGGTGTAGCTCTGACTGCAACCCCCCCAACCCAGAAATGGATTAAGGGGAAGAAAATGGATGGATGGATGGAGGTCACAGACGATCATATTATAGAGTCTGGAGGTCACATCTCTCTCATTCTGAGTGAAAACACTGGTTCATCATGTTCAGCTGTAGTCAAAAGATAAACACAGCTGCCCAAAATCACACAGTCATCTCAAACAGCCATTTCAGAAACAGACAGTCAAAGACAGTCTTCATGATGTTTATCTGAAAAGTATGCAGCCCGAGTTGGCAGCATATAAGGTCCCAGTACTGACCCCAGTGGCACACTGCTCCTGTCATTTACTGAGCTCCAAGTATAGTTTCTCCTCTTTTCTTCCACACAGAGGTGGTCCTGAAGAGACCGGTCCCTGTGGAGATGTGTCCACGCTTCCCCGAACCGGTGCCACTGACCCACCCCCTCACGCCGGTGCGAGTGGCCCTGGAGAAGGTCTGTGTAAACTTGGAGTAGGTCATCATACAAGAGTAACACACAGCCGGTCTCAGGTTGAGGAGATGATTACTTTTAATGTATTCTTGTAAAGCCCTAAATCCCAACAGTAGTCATCTCAGAGGACACATACTGTAGGTCAATCTAGAATCAAACACAAAGAATAGAGAACACATACTGTAGGTCCATAGGGGAGTTGACCAATAAGTGTTGATAAGTGTTGATAAATGTCCATAGTTGTTGAAAGTAAAGTGTCCTGGAACATCACCACAGTCCTTCTTGTTAGACACCAACAGTCTAACAGACCCTCGTGCATCGGCAAGGAAAAACTCGAAAAACCCAGTTGGAAAAAGTGAGACACTTTAGGGAGGTCCACATAGACGGACGGGTTATAGATCCAGGACTGAAGTTACAGAATGAGGACCAGGACTGAAGCAGCTTCCAGGTCAAAATCCCAATAATGCAGACAGAGAAAGTAGGAAGGAGGAGAGGATAATGCTCGAGCTACCATACTTCTCCCAGTAAACTGACTCCCTATGCAGCTTGACTGACAGGCCAAGATTTTTAGTCTTCCCTGAGTCTTACCTTCCTACCCATATGATAAATTAAAGAAGACTGACTGTGTCTACACTTTTGAACCAAAAAACACTGTTCCTCCAGTTCAACACTAAGAACACTTGAACACAGACGTGAGGCCCAAGACCTGAGGACCAAAGACCAGAGGACCAGAAACCTGAGGACCATACTCATTTTTTCAATGTTTGTCCAAATGGTGCTGTCACCTGACCAGCCAGTCCCTTACATTCTAACCCTTTGACCTCTGACCTCTGACCTCTCCTCAGCTGGACGTCCTCCTCCGCTCTCGCACAAGTCGCACACTTCCCTCACTCTCGGCTGTGGTGCTGCTCAACGACTCAGTTCTTTGGAACGCTCACTTTGGCAAACGGAACATCAGTGACTTGTCCTCCCCTGCCCCCGACGAGCACACTGTCTACAGGTCAGAGCCAGACCCAGACCCAGACCCAGAGGAAGCTGAGTCTAAACTTGGTCCTCCCACATGTGCAGATATTGGACCATAATGGATTGTGTGTATTTCTTGTGCTTTCAGAATAGCGAGTGTGTCTAAGATCTTCCCCACCCTGATGCTGTACAAACTGTGGGAGAAGGGCTCTGTGGGTTCCTTGGACGACCCCCTGGACAAGTACATGCCCGAGTTCAGCATCAAAAACCCCCTGGGCTCCGAGGCCAGCGGCAGCAGCTGGATACCTGGTAGCCCACCCTCCCTCAGCCTGCGCAGGATGGCTGGACAGCTCTCTGGTAAGCTCCAAACACAGATCTATGGGGCAGAAGGAGCTCAAACTGGAGTAATGTGCTGGAGAAATGAGACTTGACGGGCCAAATTTAGACAAAGACATTGTTTTAGTCCGCTCTTATCAAACTCAAAGTTGTTTTTAGAGTAATTTTGTAATTTTTATCTTACACCTATGTATATCATCTTTTTATTTATATGGAGCCTTCTACAGACAGAATCTTTGCTATTGTAGCATGTTTCCTCTCACTCCACAAAGTGGGAAACCGGAGCACCCAGAGGAAATCAAGAGAAGGTGTAATCGAACCCATGACCTTGTTGCTGTGAAGCACAAGTGCAAACCACTGTGCCACATTTGTACAATATTCACTGTTTTTAAATCTGTTCTTTTGGCATCACCACGGTGCACACAAGCCACAAAAGTTTTCTTCTAACTTTAAATAAAGGAAAATGTCGTGTTATACTAGCGGTTATATGATGTATAGGAGTCTACGCGCATGGCATGAGGAGCATGTTGTGAAAATGTCACAAATGCACAGAAGAAAATTTGAAACAGTGAGGCCACCAAAGGAAAATCACATCAAGGGAGGGACTGCTGTATCTGTGCATGGCCCTGGTGCAGTATGTGTGCACTCTGTGAGTGTGTACTCAGTGTGTACTCTGTGTGTGTTTCTGTGGCAGGTTTACCGCGCAGACTCCGCTCCACTAACCTGCTTTGGGACGGGGGCACAGAGGAGGCCCTGCAGCTGCTCCAGGACGATGTGCTGGTGGCTGACCCCGGGACCAGGTAAGACATCACACAGGGACAGTTTGATCACAGGGCAAAACACAAAAGCACATTAACAAATAGTGTTCAAGTCTTCAGTCTTACACACATTTTCCCTGTCAGTTCTCAGAAGCTAAGCAAGTCAGGGCCTAGGTAGTCCTGGGATAGGAGACTGTAACACCAAACTGGTATGGGAGACTGTTGCTCTAGGGCCTAACTATCATTGTGTCCTCAGAAAAGACGCGTGACCCTGCCTCATATCATATGAGTCTGGTGCTTGTGAATGATTGATGGTGCTCAGGAGTGATGTAGGTTGTGACACACAACATTAAACTAAGAGGGAGAGGGTTTATCTTGACAAATCAGAAATCTGTTGGGTGAGGTTGGGCGGATCTAACCTGTAACGTGCTCTCTGTCCCAGGTGTCACTACAGTAACGTGGCCTTCTCCCTGTTGGCCCGCGTGCTCTCTCAGCAGGTCGGGCAAGACTTTGAGAGCTGGGTGTCTGAGAACATCCTGCAGAAGCTCAACATGGAGGAGACCAGTTTCCAGTGGGAGCCGTCGTCAGGGCGACAGCTGGCAGTGGGCGTGTACAGTAGTGGGCAGCCCGCCCCCCTGTACGACTTGGGATGGTACCGGCCGGCAGGGCAGATGTACTCCACCAGTGCAGACATGGCTAAGCTGACCATGGCCCTGCTGGGGGTCCCAGGGGCCTCCCTGCTGAGACAGGACACCCTCACCACCATGCTCACCCCGCTGCTGCGCTGTCACACCGGATATTTTGCCAACGCCACAGGCACACCCTGGGAGGTCAGTCGCCTCCTGGGTTACGACGTGCTGCGGAAGGACGGAGACCTGGACGGGTATGCAGCCACCCTCTCCCTGGTGCCCAGCCTTAAGCTGGGGGTGGTCCTGCTCATAGCGGGGGTTCGGCCCACAGAGGGAGATTTGCTGAACCAGGCCTACTCCTACCTCCTCCCCGCTATTCAGGGCGCATACAGGGACGCTCCACGCACCCTTCGGGCCCCCCCAGACCCGCAGCCTTATTTGGGCTTCTTTACCTACAGGAACATGACTTTCTATGAGATCAAAGCAGACTCGTCTGGGGTGCTGCTAATGCAGCAGTTTGGTCCTCAGGTGAACGCCTCGGTGCCAGCCAAGTACCGCAGCCTCCGCCTGGACTACCTGCAGGCGCGCGTTTTCAGGGTGCTGTTTGACAGCCCGTACCCCTGCAAACTGAAGCTGCACTCTGCCTCTGTGTCTCTGGAGAATCAGGACAGACAACTCTTTAACTTCTTTGTGTTCAATAAGAAAGGTCTGTCTCCAGGCTTTGACGCCCCAGCACTCAACACCTACCGTGTGCAGCGCATCTACGGACGGCCCTTCTTTACATCCTGAGGGACCTCTGCCGTTGGCCCCTGGGACCAACAGCAACTTCTCCCCTGACAACACAACACAAATATACAGTCTGAGTTTGTCAAGTTTAAAATCCATTTTAATTCAAACAACCATCCATTTTGCCAAAGTGCACTAAAGATGATTCTGTGTCTGGTCTCTCAAGGAGAACTAGAATATCATGTGTGTATATTGGTTTGTAGACTATAACAGGCACAAAATATAAATGGGCCGCAATATTCACCCCACCTGACCTCCCGTCACCAGCAGGAGCTTCCAGGCTGTAGTTTGGTGCTCCATGGTGTTCTGATGCTGCCAAATGGACGTGTCGTGAGTCACGTATTCTCAGTGAGTGATTACGTCAGAGTAACTTGGATGGTAAATGTGGCCTGCTAAGACCAGGCTGAGTCTTTAGCTTCTGGAGGCCTAGGGGGAAACGCTGTGAGGGGGAAAGGCTGTGTATTAAATGTTAATTGAGGCTCCTGCGGGCAGAGAGCATGTCCTTATTATGTGCACCGCGTCTTTGTGTTGGACAACTCTTGACTGACTTCAGTTTCCTAGAGGTGAGTCAAAAGAACTTGGTCCAAAAAAACAAACGAGGTAACCCAATGAATGGTGCCCATGCAAGTGGTATCTATGGGGAGATGGAAACTTGTGATATGTGTGTGCTATTTACCATAAACCCCTCTACAAACTTATTAAATATGATAAATACTTATATGATTATCCATGTCTCTGTCCACCTACGATCCTGAGCCTTGCAGGACTCCTCATAGATCATAAGTCGTGGTTGGCAATTATAGCTCAACATATCTCAAAACAATAATATTCTTCCAATTCCTGGAAAGACCAAAACCAAATCTGATAAATTAATGAAATTACTGCAGTGTGGATGTAAACAGTTTCAGATGATGAACTTCCTAACATTCACTTTGACTGAAGCAGTTCCATCGCAGAAGCACACAGGTACAAACTGTTATATTTATGAATGGAATTAAAACTATTGCTCTATCTAGAACTGCCTTCAGCATCGACCACTGTTAAGAACAAGCACTGGTTCAAAGTTTTTAATCAAAAATTTGATATTTTGTACTGTATCAATACATTTTCACACAAGCACAGCGTTGAAAAAATGGTGGGAAAATAAACTGTTAGTCTTATTTGCCTAGATGTCTGTCAAAGTCATCATTAAAGATGTAAATAAACACAACTGGACTTCACATCAGCCAGAACAACCTCTGAATGCACGAGAATGCATATAAATGACCCCAGATCTTGTCAGAACAACACAACCCATATCATCCTCCACATATCACACAAGGGTTGTGTGATATGGGGAGGATGTTGCTACTTAACCCAACCCCACAAAAACTAGAGGCCACTCGCGGTAATGCAACCTAAATCCACACGGGCTGTTAGAATTCACTTCAGACCAGTGTGAAGTAAAAACGGCTCAGCTGACAGGAAACCTACAGCTTTCATAAACATGTTGTGGGGAGAACCAAGCCTCCCTTGAAAAGATTTTTTGAAATCCATAATCTTTCTATAATTCCACACTTTTATGCCACAAACTAGTCTCGCTCTTATCTGATTGGTCAGCATTCTGCGTGTTCAAGATAGGATGAGGAGCTCAGGATGAGAAGCTGCTGCTTCACCATGTGGAGAGGAGCCAGTGGAGGTAGCTCGGGCATCTGTCAGGGATCTGTCTGGGATATGTACTGGACGACGGGATTCCCCTGGAGGAGCTGAAGGAAGCGCGTGGCGAGAGAAGTTTGAGCATCTCTGAACATATTGCTGTACCCGCGACCCGGCATTAGATAAAGCGGAAGTAAATAGATGGATGGATTTATTCTACCACAGTGTAATTGAAGGCACACAGTTGTACAGAATGTAAATTGAAGAAATGACAACAACTAAACAAAGGTAAAAGTTTTCTTTAAAAAAGACAGAATTGGCATCTTGGCCTGAAGTGAGAAATCCAGAATTCATATTTAATATAGACAAAACTCTGCGGTCAGGACGAGTCAGTAGAGGTCCGGAGGTCATCCTGCCGAAGACCTTTACTTTAACGTCACTTCTGTACACCACCAGCAGAGGGCAACTAAACATAAGAATCATTCACCAGGGTTATTCAGACTCATTCACCCAAGGGCCGCGCTCTGAGGAAAATACAACTTCTGTAAGAATTAAACGATCAAAATAGCCTTGCCAAAGTACACACATTTAAATAGAAAATTATCTAAATTTGCGTAAACTCCAGATATTGAAGTCAATATGAAATCAAATGCTCCGAGCTGCTACTGGAGAAAAAGTCCTCACACAGACACCTCCTGGTCATTTTGAGATAAGCTGCACAGGACACTCCCAGAGGGTCTTAGATATACTTTTTACAACAGCCTTCACTGTATCACCAGATGAAAAGAACCACCATCGTTTAAAAAAAAAAACCCTGACACAAAAAGTTAAAAACAGACGGAATTTTCATTTCAACTGAAGTGTCACATTTTTAAATGTTTTCATTGTAAAAGTAATTGTGATGGTTAGTCTGTTTGGTTGGCTCAGTGCATGTAACGACTGTCTTTTACTGTTAGAATCTCTGATCTGTCGTTGGCGAATCCACAACTTCGTAAAGTCCTCCGGGACAACTGCTGTTGAGGTTTAGGGCGATACACGAATAAATGTAATTGAAAATAAAAAGAAGAGAGCTCCAGCATTACGAAAGAGTTCGCAAGTTCACATAAAACCATTTCTCGCAATGTAAAAATAAAAAAACATTTTAAAAAAAGCCATAAAAGTCTCGGGGGAAACGTTAGAAGAGATATTTCCGGCAGGAGTTGGAGCCGCAGCGGCACTCCACGCGAAGCCTCTTCTTTGGCGAACTCTTGGGAGAGATGGGCACGTCCATGTAAGTGATGCTGGAGTCCAACCTGCTGTCCACTGGGTCAACTGCACACACACGAAATTTTGAAATGTATATGTATTCATATTTAATGTCAGAACGCTGGACATTTTTGTGTGTGAGTGTTCTAGACTTATTTATGGATAAACCCTTTGGGAGATGGTATCGGCCATGGGTTTTCCTCTACTTATTGACACTGTTTTTAAAGCAGTGGAGACACACACTGCTGTCATCACAGACTCACTCTGCATCTTGTAGTCAAAGGTGAGCTCCTCTCCGGCAGAGATGGCTCGCGTGGAGAACAGGGCGATCCGGGGAAGCCGCTCGTCAATGTTGTCGATGAAGACGTTGAACACCTGCAGGTTGGGGTTGCACTGTGGACACACACAGAATCTCAGAGTTAGGACACAACACATCACCTCATGTGTGTGCGACCTAGGGCTTTAAAGTATTTGAGACACCCGTATTCTGCAATCAGCTTTAAACACAAACAACTGTGGAGATAGACAAAAGAAAATTTACATATTTGTAAGAATAATTGTCACTAATGAGAGCGGACATAAGTGACGTGTTTCTTAAGCCCAGGTTCCATCAGCCCTGCTCTGCTCTGCTCTATTAGTGGTATTAGTGTCTGGTACCGAATCCTAGCAATCTACCCTCAACAACCCAGTATCAGGGGAAATTCCTTAGTAACCATGGATTCCAGCAGCACTAAGGCCAATCACTGTCAGTTAGAACACATTAGTACCAGTCCAGCCTGGATATAACCAGGATCAATAGGGACTAAAGAAGGACCTGGTACCTGGTAGAGCAGAGCCAAGTAGAGCCAAGTAGAGCCAAGTAGAGCCAAGCAGAGCCAAGCAGAGCCAAGTAGCGCTGGTGAAAACAGGGCTGTAGTGTATGGCCCCAGCAGTTCACTGTGTGGCACTCACACTGTGGTTGACAAAGTGGGAGATGTTTCCATAGTGCGCGGCGTCCACCGTGTACACGTCCTCCACGTAGTCCAGGTCAAACAGGTACGTGGAGCCCTGGCTGTCGTATTCACGCCCGCGCTTCTCCGCCTCCTCGTTGGAGATGATCTGCACAACACAACACAGCATTTCCTCGCACATTCCACAAGACAAATAGTCTGTAGCTATGTCCATGTTTAAAAGTACACTTCATCCTCGTAAGAAACTTTGTCCTCTGCATTTGATCCTGCAAAGCTTTTGTGGCCTCTACCAGGAGCAGTGGTTGCCAGAGTACAGCGCCAGGAGACCCATATCCAGATGTGGTGATGATCCAGGACACTATCATTCTAAAGCACTTATGGACATTAGTCAACTCTCCCCTATGCGATCTATATTTTTTGTGTTTGAACTGTTTGGTTCTCTGATCTGTGTTGGCGATTTGAACGGTTTTGTCAAGTCCTCTGAGATGACTTCTGTTGTTGTGAGGACGGCCTTTACAAGAATACATTGAATTGAATTGAATGTTGATACTCTGCTTGGTCAGGACTAATGGAGCTGGAGGATTTTTTTAATCTATTGAGCATGTTTCAAGTCTCTAAGGTCTTGTTCATGGGTGAGGGAAGGATGGAGCGAGAGACTGACAAGACGGATCGGTGCAGCATCTGCAGTGAGAGCTCTACGTCCCCTCTTGTGAGCTTTGAGTCATGACCGAAAGGACGAAATTAAAGATACAAGTGGTCCACATGAGTTAGAGCTAGGGAGAGACAAACGAGAGAACTTTAGAGTAGAGCCGCTGCTCCTCAACATGGAGAGGAGCCAGTTGAGGTGTCTTGGGCATCCATTTGGGATAGCTCCTAGATGCCTGGTTGTCTCTACTCAGACTGCTGACCCGCAACCTGATAAAGTGGAAGAATATGGATGGATGGAATGGTTGTGGGTACCTCTCCGATGTATTCCATGACAAAGGTGTTCTTGTGAATGTGCTGCAGGGTGCGCACTCCCCAGCCACGCCCGTTCTCCGTCCTAAAGATGCACAGGTCGAACTGGATGCCCCTCTGCACAACCCGGTTGGGGCAGTCGGGCCCGCAACAGCAGCGGGAGTTGCACTCGTAGATGGGCTCGCCGGCGCGTACCTTCAGCCTCTGCTTCTCGTTGTAGGCCAGGCGGTGCAGAGAGGCCCCGGGGCAGCACCCGTCCACGGGGTCTTCTAGACAGTTCGTACACTCGCAGCCAACAGCCATCTCGTCCAGGATGATACCGGGGCCCGCCTTGTAGTTGTTGATGTAGGTGAAATGTGCGGGGGGCCCCTCCAGGTCCACATCGTTCAGGACGTAGATTTGGCCCGGGTGGTTGCTGGTCTGGTTCAGGTGTGCCTGCCAGGGCAGAGGGAAAAGTAAACACCACTATTGGAAAAATACCCAGTTCCAGTTTTTTTGACCATCACTCCAATGGTGATTGTTTTTAGGGATGCACAGATGCCCATCCCTATGATATGCACAGTATGGGCATATCATAGGGATGCCCATATCGACCTGATATCAGGTCCATATCATAGGACCCAATCCGGGCAATCAATGCTAGCTTAGCGGCAAGCTAGCGGATATAGCTCGTAAAGTAAACGAGTGACAAAATGTCCTTGTACTATTTGTATGAGTGGAACACGACAGTGGCTGTTACTGGTTGATTGTTAAAACAATTGCTAAAATGTTTAATTGTTAAAGCATTTTCTTATTGTTGATATGATGATACAAGTATTAGTTTTATGAATCCCAGGGATAACGCAATGCAGTACTATCAGTATCGTTAAGTACTCAAATCAAGGTACTCGTATCAGTTGTGAAAAATGTGGTATTGTTTCCTCCCTAATATTTAATATTTATCATTTATAAATAGTATTTATCAGATTGGTTTCACAGTGACTATCGTCACGTTTTGTCTGCACAATGAAGACTTTGGCACATTCCAATATGGTTTTACTCCAAATAGGAAATAATTTGAATCTGAACCCCCAGGAGTTTCAAAAGACTTTTTACAGGTCGTTTGAAAAAAAAAAACGTTTGCGTTTGCTATAACCATAAACATAAATCATTATATCAGCTTCTTGACACTGCTTCTTCGTAAATCCAAACAGACCATGGCCTTGAATACACCTCCAGGGACAAGGGCGTGAACCAGTAAGTAAGTCAGAGACCAGAGTCACAAAGCGCTTTACTATTGTTGTGGGCATTCGTCTCTCGCTCCACACAGAGATAGGAGCGAGGTTCTGGTTTAGCAAAAAGCACAGTCGTGCAGCTTGAACTATTGCACATTTGGTAATTTTTACAACCGTAACGAAATTATTTTGATTTCTTTAACTGAAATAAAAAATAGAAATCTGAAAAGTTGGGCATGCACAATTACTCAGAATCAGAATCATTTTTATTGCCACGTAAGTAACAGGAGGTCACAGACTTGGAAATTGCTTTGGCTCAGTGCAACAGTCAGAGAGAGATAATAAAAAATAAAGAATAAAAAACACTTATAAGGAATAAATTTAAATTTAAAATAGAGTTACAGTTACTATTTACAATATACAAGTGCAAATGGTGCACACAATGTAAGGTGACAGCAGTACAGTGAAGTACAGTGAAATAATATGATAATGACCCAACGATAGTAGTTTTCTATCCTTCCTCAGTGAGTGTACATGTGTAAATGTTGGTGTATGTTTCCTATGTATAGGTACATACTTATGTTATGTTATGATGAATATAATGTTGTAATGTCCTAATGAAATGTTTTTTTTTTGTTCTTTTTTATTATTATTATAATTTGTTTTTCTTTTCTGAAGCTTGAGCCCAGTGTAATTTGAAAATGTTTTTCACAGACCAAATTTTTGTGAATGTTAATTGTTTGTGCTTATTGTATATTGTTGGACACCGGCCGAATAAATAATTAAAAAAATTAAATATTGCGACAGCGACAACCCTACGGCAAATGCACACGCCCAAAAGTCTTGCTTTGTCATTGGACGGACCGAGCCCCCAATCCCTGAACGATAGATCCGGGTGAAAATTATAGCAATGATGAACATGTTCCTAAAAACACTATTGTGAAAGACCGTCTGTCGAAAACACCAAACCGGATTGCTCTCTCTCTGCTGGGTAAAAACAATACTAGCAGCTAAAGAGGTCTCACTCCTGCCCTGGTCTTGTGCCACTAACTGAAAATGTCTGGTACATACCTGCCAGCACAGGAGGCTCTGCCTCAATTTGGCCTTCTGAGCCAGGTACGACGACACCTCTTCATCCAGCCTGCGAGGTACCCTGCGCCTCTTGCGACGCTGCAGTTCCCTCACCAGGTCCTGGTGGAACTGCTTTATCATCCGTCCACACTTCAGGTTGGACCTGGGCTCCCATGTGTTCTGCTCCTCAGGGAAACCCCTCCATTTCACCAGGTAGAACTCGTCCTCCTGAAGAACACAGGAGTACTGTACAACTGGGCAACAGTGGATAAAAAGGACACACTATAATTGAACATGTTACAACATTGCTCCTCTTAAGCACCCACTACCCCAATTTTCAAATGTGTAACACAATGAAAATGAATAGAAACGATCAGTATTGATTGAATCTTCAGACTTCTTGACATTATGGATCTTACTCTGAGAAGAATGAGATTGAGGCATTTCACTGTATAATACAGTGGTTCCCAAAGTGGGGGGCACAGAACAATTGCAGGAGGGGCGCAGGACAAATGAATTAACGAAAAACAGTATGCTAAATGACACTGCTAGCCTAAAATGGATACATTTTTGACGCAGCTCCAATGTAAACGCAGAGCAGAGGATGAAGCATCACCAGATGCACTTCAAAAGCAATTTCCTTCCAAGGCAAAGACTAGAAAATATGACGAGACATATCTTCCCTTTAGCTTCACCTGTACAACGGTGGGTAATGAGGAGAGACCGCAGTGTAAGCAATGTGTATGTATGTCCTTTTGTTGTTGGAGTAGACACACAGAGCATGCAAAGCACACTGTTTAAAAAGTATGCACACTTAAAATCAGTGAAACAGCACAGCCAAAAGGAGGAGGGGCTGTTTATCAGAGCATAGACATGAATATGAAATGCTATACTTGGCGGTGCATACCTTGACCCTCTTGTAGTTGCAGATGAACTCCACCTCGTACTCATGTATGTTGGCCCTGCTCACCCCCAGCTCCTTACAGCGCAGCTCCTCCAGCCGGCACAGCGTCTCCACCTCCTTCCAGGACATCTTACAAGGTACATGGCACTCTAACATACAAAAAGAGGAATTTCTTACACCAGTGCAGTGGTTTAAGCAACTATATCTCAATAATAATTATATCAACAAGTCCTAGTGAATGAAAACTTCTGTCATTTCATTTGTCTATATTATGACAAAAAGTTGTATTTGCTACTTGCACAAATCCCATAATTGTGGCACCACCTGCAGTTGCAACTGCTATAAAGTGCTAAACTGTTGATGTGTCATTAAGCACTTGGACACTTCACCCACGAGAATGAGTCTGGTGTGTGAACGGCCAGTGTGTCAAAATCCAGCGTCCAGCCCCATGCATAATTATAATTCTTTAGGCATTATTTTGGTGGAGTTGGAGAAGTTTTACAGCATTTGATTATTGTAGGACTTTTCACTGTTCTCTTTAGGGAGACTATGTACACCTGTCCAGGGACGGAAGAAGAAAAATGGCTAACTTGGCTAATTCTTTTGCATTTACAGAAATGTTTATTAATGCACACTGTCCCTGTCAAATAAACTTATAAAATAAAATAAAAATAAGTTGGTGCAGTTGAAGTTGGCTGGATGACACTGTGAACTTGTTTTTATTATCCTAATTATCTCAAAGGCAAATTAGGGTTAGCTTCATTTGGCTTTTTCTTTCTCTCTGGGGGCGAAGTGGGTTAAGTCAGTGTCTTGCCCAAGGATACACAGCAGTAATTACCAAAGGGAGCTGGGTTCACACTGCGACCCTCAGGTGAGTCAATTTGACCTCAATCAATGATGTTTACGTCAGTGGTTTACAATTCAAAGGTTTGGTGACACCACTATATTCACTTCTCTGCAATTTAAACCAGTGATAAATGGTAATAAATAAGTTATAGACAGTGATCGATTCACCGGTGACTTGAATAATAATGGCACGGCTCTCGCTAACCAATTTCCTCACTCTAGAAGCAGTTTCCAGTTTGTCTGATGTTTATTTAACAGGTAGTTAATCACTTGTCCAGTTTATACCTCACATCTATTTATGGGAAATATTATGAAAATTCATTTTCAAAAACACATCTGTAATTATTGGCAATAAACATGATTTCCCATAATGTGTCATACCAAAACTATGCAGATGACACTCGGATCTATGTATCACTAACAGCCGGTGAATATAGTCCAGTGGACTCACTATGTCACTGCATCCAAGAAATTAGTGCGTGGATGCAAAACAATTTTCTTCAGCTAAATACAGATAAAACTGAAGTGATTGTTTTTGGCCCCCAAAAGCAAAGAGACATTGTGTCAAATCATCTTATATCTCTCCACTTGAAACCTAAGAATCAGGTCAAAAATCTAGGCGTGATAATGGACTCTGACCTGAATTTTAATTGCCACATAAAATCGGTGACATCAACCGCTTTTTATCACTTAAAGAACATTGCGGGAATCAAAAATATAGTGTCTAAAGCAGACTTAGAGATCCTTATACATGCATTTGTCTCCAGTAGGCTAGACTACTGTAACGGCTTGCTCACAGGTCTTTCCAAAGGAGCAATTAAACAGCTGCAGTACATTCAAAATGCAGCAGCTCGAGTCCTGACTAGAACCAGGAAGTACGACCACATTAGTCCAGTCTCAGGTCTCTGCACTGGCTTGCTCGGACTTTGAGGAGCACAGGGACTGGCCTCCTGCAGGTGTCCAGAGTCAGGACGAAACATGGGGAGGCAGCGTTTCAGATTTATGCAGCTAGGATATGGAATGGCCTTCCTGAGGTTGTGACACAGGCCACTACCCTGACCATGTTCAAAACTAGGCTGAAAACATCTCTTTAGCTGTGCATACAACTGACTGATTCTATTTCGTATGACTTATTACTTTTGTTGGCTTTTTTCTTTTTTTTTAAAACCTACTTTAATGTATTTTAAACCCAAAACTTTTAAACTGCTTTATCTTAATATTTAATATTTAAATAATTGTATACTTATTGACTTTTTGAATGCATTTTTGATCTGTGCTTTTTGATTTTTCTTGTGAAACACTTTGAATTGCCTTGTACACGAATTGTGCAAATAAATGATTAATTTGGTCAAGAAGGGTTGAAACTTTATTTTCATGGCAAAAACCTAGCTTTTCAAAAAACTAAGAGCAATTATAAAAAAATCCAAATATTGTTGTAATGACACTTATTTTTTTACAAATTAACTATACATACATGAACACCTGCACAATGAGATGCAGCCGCCAACTTTAGTTTGACTTTCTTTACAACAAAGGGACTTGAACAGGACATCGTCGTGGTCACCAGTTCACAAGTGTCAAGGGTCATCTTCCCCAGAGAACATCAAGACACATAAAAACTAGACTGCACTGTACACTTTGATGACCAGACATTAAAAGTGTAGAAAGTGTGGAGCAACAGCGATGCACAACAAACTACGCACACAGCCTCTCACAGCAGCCAGCTAACACGGCCACTTTTAAACGCAAGACTTCTAAAGAATCCTAAGTCTGCAGCTGGTGAGCTAACACGCCATCAAGAGCAGCGTGAAGCATTATGCACCAAACAATAATGTTTTCCCAGTTTTACCTTTCAAATGTTCCGCCATGATGCCCACAAGCCGCCAAAATGTCCATAGAGCGGGGGGGCGGTCGCTGTTGCTGCGAAGGCGCCAGCTCGTGCGCTGATTGGCTCAATGAGCACCACACGCGCTCTGATTGGCTCTTGAATGATAAACGACATATGGGTGGGTCGTTCCCATGTCGTTCCGCTTGAACTGAGTAGTCAGGATTCACGAACGGTTTACGTATATTGCGTACGATGGTAACGAAAGAGTCACATGATGGAGACAGCTGCGTTCGTAGTTCTTGAGCAGGGCGGCTCAACAACTGCGTCAAAATGTCAATATCCAACGTTCTTCCTTGTGTTTTAAAATGTAGTTTTTACAAGACTCTTTGGTCTACAAAATATACATTGTTAAATAGCCTTTAGGTCACAGTTTATTATAGATAGATAAATACTTTATTGATCCCCCATAAGAGAAATTCAGGTGTCCAGCAGCAGAAGACTCTTTTCTTGTTGTTGTAGTACAGTTAGTCAGGTTTGACAGTCAGTCAGATTTGTTGTACAGTCTGACAGTCGAAGGAAAAAAGGATCTTTTGAAACGTTCCGTTCCGTGCTCTGACCTTTCTTGTAGATGGCATTGGCCTGAGCTGACCAGTCCAGTCTGTGGTCCAGGTATATAACTATAGCTATATACAAGGCAGAAAACAAGTTAAAAGGAAGAAGTTATTTTCCTGAATTCAGATGTAGGTCAGAGTTCTACGTCCTTTATCGTTGATATAAATGGCGGGCTACACTCATTCAGAGAATACAAGTCTGTGATCATAGTCATCTCCATCTTATAAGATGCCATTTATCCTTTACAACATCAACAATATTGGTGATAGCTCTATTGTGCTCACCTTAAATGGGATTATTTTACTTGATAAAAAATGCAATAATAAGCCTTGATCTTTCAGTGGGGGATTCAGGCAAAGTGAGT